GATCATCTTTCTCTCTCTCTCTCTCTCACTTTAGTGTGTGAACAAAATCTCAAAGAACCCAAAATATGAGAGCAATCTTAATCACAAATTTAGTTCCTGACTAGCCAAAGAAGAAAAGGGAAACATTAGTTGTCAAAGATATTTATCTAGAGTACCATTCCTTGTTTTAGCTCTGAAAAATAAGATTCTGTACCAAGAACTTTATTTTCTCATAGGAAAGAATTTTCGTTCATCTTAGTGAATTTTCTGAATCAGGTTTGTGTCTTTTCTGCTCTTGAAGCTCTTAATCAATTGGTTATCAAGGATAAGGGTTTTCTGCTTCATTATAAATCTTGATTTCGTCAACATAATCTTTTAGTTAAGTTTACACTATCCAAAGATTGTGTGATTAAGCAAGGATGGTGATATCTCCATTGATCAAAGAATTAGTGTTGTCAGGAAGCACTCTTTTTTTTTTTTTTTTTGATAAGAAACGATGGTTATGTTAGAAAAGCTAAAAAATGTAATAAACATCCTAGGGTCGAATAGAGAAAACCCTTCCCAACAAGCTAAACAAGGAAGGCCTTTTGATCGTTTATGATTAAAGGACTAATTGGAAAAGAATTTAGGATTGTTTATTACAAGCTAATCTGGTCGACTGAAGGCAAATTATGAATGAGAAGGTTTCTTCTTCTTCTATTGCAGGTTAAAGGTATGGTAACAGATTTTGGGGACAACATGCACTGCCAGTTTCTTGAAATTCTTCGTAATCTATTGGATACTTATGCATTGTCTGGAGTCCAGGTACCTTTTTAACATTTTTTTCCCAATAATATGCTTTCTAATGTTATTTTAATGCAAGCATAGTTGAGTCTATTTAGAAATTCCTGTGATGTTTGTTGCTGCTTCATGAAATCTTGCCTTTTGAACTTCTTCAGTTTTTTTTTTTTTTTCTTTTAATGTATAACAGATATATTATGCTTGCATTTTGTTTTGCAACACATTTGAGTTTATTTACGCAGGTGTAACATTTTGATTGCTGCTTTCTATTTTCTTATATTTCTGCTGAAATCTTGGAAAAACTTGTCAGTAAAACTTTCATGTAAGATGTGATTGTTTTTTCTTGTCTCTTTTTCCTTTTCTTTTCTTTTCTTTACTCTTCCTTTTCCAATTGCGTCCATTGCTTTCTCTGTTTATTTTGTCTTGAAATATGCTACTGTTTTTTATTTGCAGAGAGATACAGTTATTGAGATTTTCTATGAGAAGCATTTGGGCCAATTAATAGATATTATAACAGCATCATGTCCTACAGAAAGTTTTAAATCAGCCAAGAAAATTGAAGGCGCTGTTGAAGGACTGGGAGATAAGAATGGCGTGAAGCCTGAGATTCTGTCAAACATATGCGAATTACTTTGCTTTTGTGTTCTCCAACACCCATATAGAATAAAGTAATCTTTGTGCCCTACTCGTCTACAAGTACTGAAATTGAATTCCCTCTACCATCTATTTATATATACTTTAATGATCACATGGCTTATTTTCTTATTCTTTTATTGCAGGTCTAATTTTCTCCTAAATAATATGATAGACAAAGTGGTGCTATTGACACAACGGAGGGAAAAATATTTGGTTGTTGCTGCAGTTCGATTTGTTCGTACTATTCTTTCACGCCATGTAAGTGTGAATTTGTAATTATGAAACAAATAATTTTGCCTAAAGATTGACCTTAAAATTGCCAACCATAGAATTTTGTGGATGTATCCCATAACCAATCTAACCCCATGCCACTATAATTCTAGTGACCGTGGCATCAGTGCCAATTTAGATATGGTCTTTCCATAGACGATAGATGAATGAAAAATGTTTATCATATATATTCTATTATGCCGCCTTGCTGGGTGGAAAGCCCCCAAATTCTCTAGTCCTTATAAGCATCCCCTTGCATTTCTAGTAATTCTAATAGTTCTTTTAGCATTGTTCTTTCCTTTTTTTTTTAATCGCTGACCTCTCTTCCAATGAGCGGTTCATTTCTATTTACTGTGGTACTATCTACCTAAGTCTTTTACTTCGTTAATTTACAGGATGAGCACCTGATAAATTATTTTGTCAAGAACAGCACTCTCAAGCCTATCATAGATGCTTTTGTTGCTAATGGAAATCGCTATAATCTACTTAATTCTGTTGTTTTAGACCTTCTCGAGTTTATAAGGACGGTAAATACCTTTCCATCATCTCGCTCTCCTTCCTTTCTTTCTTTCTGGAACTCAGGTGTCTTTCGTTTTTGCCTGTATGTCATGCAGGAAAACTTAAAGTTGTTGATTAGATATATAATTGATTCCTTCTGGAATCAGTTGTCCCAATTTGAAAACTTGCCTTCCATTCAAGCTTTAAAAGTTAAATATGAACAGGTAAACTATAGTCCTTCTTGATTGATTCCATCTCTTTAATTTATTTCAAATTCTATTCCCCCCCATCTGATGCGTGTGTACTTGCAGTGCCTTGAAAATTATGAAATGAAAGGCGCTTTGGAGACGTCTGATCCTCGAAAAAGAAATGATGAGCGTGCTCTAGAGAAAGAGGAGGAAGACTATTTCAATGAAGACAGGTATGCAGTTTTGTTCTCACATGGCAAGTTCTTGCTATAAAGTACAGCATTTCCTGTCTGGAACTTTTTCTCGTCATTAACTTAACTCATTTCAGCGATGAAGAGGATACTGCATCTGCTGCTCCCAAACAGAATGTACAGTCGCAACCTGCTTTATGTAATGGCGTTACTACAAATTACCCACTAGTAAGGTATTTTCATGCTATCCCATTTTGTAAAAAACATATTTAAGTGACACTTCTTTCGTAGGCCCTCTTGGAACAAGCACAAATTAAGGGCTTTTTGAGCACTTTAAGTGCCTTTTAATAAAGTCACTTTGAAAAATACTTTCATGTGACTTCTCACCCTTCTGAAAGACGTCTCAAAACTCACTTTGAAGTATTCTTAAGACACTATTAAACTTTTGAAAAATACTTTGAACTAGTAAAAAGACTGTTCAACCCTTCAAACAAAGGCTAAATTGAAGACTTATTGCACCTTCTATCTTTTCAGTCTTAGGTCAGGTGGTCTAGTTGATTATGATGATGATGAGGATGATGAAGACTACAGACCCCCACAGAGGGATCAACCCGACTCTTCAGATGAAGACAACGAAATGATGGAATCTCTCGGGCAGAAGCGGAAGTTGGCTCCTCAAGAGGAACCTCAGATGGTCAAGAAGCAACTACTGAGCAAGAAGTACAAGCCAAAAGATGGTGTATTAGCTTCCTTGTGTACCACACTGAGTCAGGCCATCTTACCTGGTAAGAAGACAACAAACGCTACTCCTACTCAAACTAGTCTGTGTACGCCATATGAGAACAAAAGCTCAGGTGAAGAAAATCATGAGACAAGTCCTGCTATTTCTAGCAGCTCTTCTGATAGTAGTAGCAGCAATTCCGATGAGGAAAACCGCAGAGAAAAAGAATCTACAGCTTCTAGAAGTTACCCCAACAGTAGTATCTTACATATTACTTCAGAAAACCGACAGTTAGGTGGCGATGACCATCCATTGATACCGCCAAAATCCTCGCCCGAAATGACTGTAAATGGATCTTTAAGTTAGTATTAGCACCAATCTTCTATCTGGTGCCTGCCAAATTTTTATGATCTTTCATGGATGTGCTTGGTGATGGGAAATACTTTACTCTGTGAGATTACACCAAAAGAGATCAATGCACTCCCTGAACGAAAGTGAATCAACAGAATCGGATCATAGTTGGTTTTGGGGATTTCGATTTAAGCCGAAGACGAGGACATCTTACTGTATAGTGCGACTGAGCGGGGAAGATACCTTCTACTCTCTCAAGTTTTACCTCCAGCATTTTTACTTTCTGTAAAACATTTGGGCGTATTAATTTTGCTGGTTAGCATTGTCACCTTCTCCTCTCTGTTTCAACTTACTCTCCCTCCCTCGGGGGATTACAGCCTCGTATAATTAAGTTCGAACCAGACTTTGAAATGTTATAGAAGAGGGCATAAAATTTTGCCCTATATATTCGTCTTTCGTTTAGTTTAGGCGACAGTGTTCTGAAAGGTAGAGATGAATATACAGTGTCGATCAGAGTCGAAAATTTTAAAGATTTTCTAGTCCAAATTTTAAAGTTGTAGAGATGAATCTCATTTATCACAACAAGTGTAAATTAAACTTTAGTGAGTTCACCTGCTAGCTTTGTTTGTGAAGTTATCATGTTAAAAGTTGAGCAAATGTTTGTTGTTGCACTAGCCGCTTCTCTCTTGAACTACATCTTTATGACTCTTTCATTTCTAGTAGAATTTGATTTGTAAACGAACATCTACAAGATCTTCATTATTTCTATCCTTCAAGATTTTAAATTATTATAGAATTTGGCCGATCTAAGCATTACTCATACGTTATGGTTAAAATATGTTTTAAGTTAGAACAGGGGACAAAAGTTTGATCTTATAGCTAAGACATCCTACCTAGAAAATTTCAAGATAACTATTGTCATTATAAAGTCGAGCGATAAACAGTTAGTCGTTAGTAGCATTAATGTTCTCTTCACTATTATAGAAATGTGATTTTTACCTCACACAGCACCGTAAGAGCCATAAATAAATCTCTGGAGTATGTCGAGATTATTTATTTTGATGTTTTTTTTTGTAGAGTAGTATAAGACAAGAATCTATCGTGTGACTGCAAATTAACCGAATAAATTTACGACTATTTTATTAATAAAGAAAAAATATATTTGAACAAATTGTGAGAAAAAAGTGAAATTAAAATATTATTTACAAGAATCTATAACAATTAAATAAATGTAATTTATGGAAGAAAAATAAAAAGAAGTGAATAAAAGTATTATTATATTATAGAGATAAACATAAATACCAATTAAGATATATACAAATATAATATGATTTTAATATAAAATTTTGATAAATTATTTCGCTACCATTATTTTATTTTGGCCATTTACAAGTCTTTTTCTCCCGCCATTGGAAAAAAGAAACTTCGCCCTTTCGCCTGATCGACGTTTGAAGAACCGCAGCTGATTTAGATTACAGTGTTGGATTATCGCGCAGATTCCTTCTGATTTTCAGCTGAACGGCTCCTAAAACCCTAGGGTTTTGTGTTTGAAATTTTCTGCAAGATGAGAAACCATGAAGTTTTGCCGGGAATGGTATGTTTGGCTTTGATTCTTCTGTGTTGATTAGTTTAAGTCATTGGAAAATGTTGTAATTATGGAAATTATTTTGTTGCAGTAACGACATTCTTTATCCGAAGGAGGACAGAGATGAGAAGATTCTTCTCTATGCGTGTCGCAACTGTGATCACCAGGTACCTTCTCTTTCTTTTGTTTTCCATATTTCTATTCTAATGCTATGAACATTTTAGGTTTATTAGTTTGGATTTCATGTCTGATGTATAATAGTTACACTTACAACTTACGAAACCCTATGTTATGGTTTTCTTTCTGTAGTTGAAATCAAATATCAATTTGTTTCTGAATGTGAATTGTCTTGCTTTATAGTAATTTTGACCTAGGATAAGGATGTTTGAACCTGATTCATGCTTATGCCCTCGAATGCTAGAAGTTGCCCCTTTAGTTCGTCTCCTTGTCAAAGATTTCCTTATAGCGTCATATTATCTCTGTTTATAGCTTAACCTTCCCCGAACTTTGTGTTAGGACTACACAGGATAGAGAAGAGGCATTGACTAGAGGTTACTATATACAGTCGTTGTTATTTAGTATGATCATTTACTATGTTATTTAGTATGACCATATATAGTTACAAACCCTTTCCAAATTCCAAATTTTGCTGCATAAGATGTGCTGTTCAACTGACGTATAGAGGAATAGAGATCAGTTTCTTGAGACCAAATAGAGATCAGTTTCTTGAGACCTAAGTATATATCTAATTTTCGATTGGTGTTTGTACGTATATATCTCCATTTCCTTAATCTTCAAGGCTTTGTTGTCGGTGAGATACACCTTCCCGAAATTTTCAGATTTGAACTTCTGAAACCATTCCTTATTTGAAGATAAATGAAAAGATGCAGCCGAGTCTAAAATTCAAGATTAAGTTGGGCTATCCGCAGTAAGGGTTAGAGTAAGGGTTAGAGCATCTTCAGTATTTTCTGCAATATACACAATCATTATCATCTCTAGATTTGTGATGTTGCTTCTTCTCTAGTTTTGTACCATCTATTCGAAATTGCTTATTTTCTCAAAAATCTCTACACGTTATGTTTGGTCTGTTTGGAGATTTTTTTCGGTTTGATTTTTGATTGGTCGTGTTTGTTTGGGCCCTTCAAGTTACTCCTTCCTTTTCGATCTAACACTAAGAGAATTGTTCGATGAATCCTCAATCTCTCGTTTGCGATTACTTTCACTAAGAACTAAATCTTGGATTTCATCAAACTTCAATTTCTCAGATCCCTGGGAACTGTTGTTTGGAATTACTTTCATTGAAAACTAAATTTTGGATTTCATCGAACTTCAATTTCTCAGATCCTTGGGGACTGTTGTTTGGAATTACTTTCATTGAAAACTAAATCTTGGATTTCATCAAACTTCAATTTCTCAAATACTTGGGGATTGTTGATTGTAGTAACAACAATATCCCAAGACTTGGGTAAGGATGACATCAAAATCAATGTTTTAATTTCATCTTTGAAATTAATTAACATCAAACTTAGTTGACTTACAATCATATCGAATTCATTTATATGATCCACAAAAGATCCACCGCATCAAATACGCCTTTTTCATAGCCGACGGTTTTTTGTACATATTTGACAATGCCTTCAATAGATTCAACGTTGTATTCTCCTTGATAATGTTGAAAGTTACGTTTCTGGAAAGCGTCCATAGGATCAACCCTAGAGTTTTTCGATCCTTGAGCTTCCACTGCTCCATTGTCATGGTATCCGATTTCACCTCAGACAAGAATTCGTGAAGATCTTGCTGGTACATATTATCTTCAATCTGCATCTTCCCATAAATCGAAATAGGATCTATCATACTTCTCAATTCCAATCTTTTAGCTTTCCATCTTCACAGATCATGGTGAATATCTCCTAGCATTGATACCAATTATTAGGACCGCACATCATCCTACACACTCAGTCTAGATAAAGAACACGAAGAACAAAACATAGAAGACGAAAGGAGAAATATAGACCAGAGGTTTATATTGATGACGACGACGACTTCAATTATATAGTAATAAAGAATACATAAATTGTTAGGATAATTTCTTCCAACCATCACTTACAAGAATTTATATAGTTTAGTTTATTATGCATAGCTTTACTATATATAATCATTCGGACCTCTATGCAAAGCCATTTATTTACTACAAGTAAATCAGGGTCCAAAACCTAACATTTTGATGAAACCCTTTGTTCTTGGCTACTTTTGTTGTTCATTTTCATATAAATAAATTTCAGGAAGGGAAGATTTAAGAAGATTATAGTTTACTAGTTATCATCTGTTAATGAGAGCTAATAGACCCAACAGAGAATATACTTTTAGATAAATGCTTGAAACAGGCACATGTTTCATTTAATCTAACACAGGGAATTTAACCTTTCGTGGGATAGTTAATTCAGCCTTTATAAATTATTAGGACAATGTAGATTACTTATTTAATTCTGAAGGTTACAAGTTTGATCTATTTTTCATTGTTATTAGAGTATTATCATTGAATTGTCCAAGTTAATCTTCACGAGGTGCCTTTGATTCCCCTGTTCTTATTTACCAACTGAATTACATTTCTTCTGTACTTCTACTCGGTGTATGTTTTCTAATGGACCATTGTTGAATCTTCCTTTCTGTTTATGTATGACCAAATGTATTTTATGTTTACCTACTGGAAGATAGATCCGGTTTTGTATTCTGAGATTGATATCCTCCCCTCTTTCCTCCTGATTATATTTACGGATCCTCTCTTGTGAGATCCTACATCGGTTGAGGAGGAGAACGAAAAACCCTCTATAAGGTGTGGAAATCTTTCCCTAGCAGACGCATCTTAAAATCTTGAGAGGAAGCCCGAAAGGGAAAGCCCAAAGAGGGCAATATCTGCTAACACGGTTTAGAAGGGTGTGGAAACTTCTCCTTAGCCGATGCGTTTTAAAACCTTGAGGAGAAGTCTGAAAGGAAAAGCCCAAATTGCAGACGCGTTTTAAAACCTTGAGAGGAAGCTGATAGTCCAAAGAGGACAATATTTGCTAACAGTGGACTTGGACCGTTACAAATGGTATCAGAGCCAGACATTGGACGATGTGACAGCGAGGAGGCTCAGCGTGCTCATAATAAGTGTGTTATTTTTTTTCTTAAAAAAAATCTGTTTACAGGAAGTTGCTGATAATAACTGTGTATAGGAATGAGATCCATCATGCTGTAGGGGAACGCACTCAAGTTCTGCAAGATGTTGCTGCAGATCCAACTCTCCCTCGCACTAAAGCTGTCCGATGTGCTCAATGTAACCATGGAGAAGCTGTTTTCTTCCAGGTTATTATTATTATTTTGGATAGACTTCCCTTTTTGCTTCCAAGCTTTGTTTTGCAATGCTTGAGCTTTCTTCCTCTCTTCTCTCCATTACCAGCGTTGAGAGATTCTTTTCAACTCCCATAATTTTTTAGCTGGCACCGTTTTACATTCTCCATCATCTTCATCATCTTAATACGGCTGCAAATTGACAAGGTTTTCTTGAATTTAATCCTACTAACCATCATCTGATTGCGTTCACTGTCTGCAGGCCACTGCCAGAGGGGAGAAAGGTATGACATTGTTCTTCGTTTGCTGCAATCCAAATTGTGGCCACAGATGGAGAGATTAACATCACCGAAATGCAATCCAAGTTTTATTAGCATGTCTGTGTGTCACTAAGTGTTTTAACCATCTTATGCTTAAAGATGGTTACAATTGTACTGATTGTGTATGTGGGTTGATAAGGACCTACACAAAGATGGACCTGGGACAATGCTAATTTACTAATATCGTGAAAATAACGTTGAAATGTTAGAAAAATGATCTCAAGATTCACTATATTTCGTTCCATATACTTTCAATTTGTACTTTCAATAAATCTAAAATAAAATTTTCATTCAAGAAAGGTCGATGTGAAATATTGAACACTACTTTTAAGACTAAAAATCTCGACCATCGAGATTTAAATGGGAATGGTCAAATATTGATTTATCATTTGTTATTGCCGTGGATGTCAAATATACCTGTTGTATACACAAATTAGTCCTGGGTGGAAAATGGCACCCTCCTCCCTCCCTCCCTCTATAATTTCCTAGACCTCAATCTTCCATAGAGAGATTCTCTAAGAACATAAATGAAAGGCGATGTTTAATCAAATGGGGAAAAAGAATTATCTACATACAGGACAAATAACCCAAGTGGGGTTCTTTTCTTCTTCAACCTAACATTGCCCAACAATTTCTACCAAAATTCTTGAATGCTAAGAGGTATTTTACAAGAATCTATAAAGGCGATATGTTGCGATTAAACCAGTCTGACAAGCGTCTAATTTTCTTCGACATGTCTTCGTTCTTAGCCACGAACGACTCATAATTCGATAGCATTACCATGAAGTCATGCTTCAAAGCCTCCAAGTTTCGGTAGTAATCGTTCTGTAATCTTTCCTGGATTATCTCAAGGCACAATGGTACAGGAAACCTATAAATGTACAAGAGGCAAAAATTACACTCATATCTTGAATCCCCATGAAGTTTATGGCAAAATGGATTATTTATTAACCTACCTGTTCTTGAATTGTGTCTTCCGTGAGAGAAGCATCAGATCTTGAATCCCATAACGGCCCTGAGATTTTAAGGACAAAATCAGAACAAGATCATCATATGTATATAATCAGAAAACATAATAAACCTTGAACAACCAGACTACCTGCATAGGGGCCGACATTAATTGGTCGAAGGCAGTCGACAACTTTGCTTTGTTTTCGTCATCTATTCGAGGCTGTTCCCACTGAGTAACAATATCATAAAGCTCCCAAGGACTATGTAGATGTGGTTCTGCAGGATCACTCCTATACTTAATTGTGTACCTTTCCCAAGGACTTTCTGGAAACTCTGAAGATTTTGGCTGCACAGAGACAATCCGACCATCCCACCAACTACCATCTACTCCAACATCATTTTTCCACCACACTTTGCACTTGTCCCTGAATGTCCAATTCCTCTGCATTGCTGCTTCAAACCGAGTTCTTTCGACTAAGAAGTCAGGGAAACTAGTCAACTCGGGCAGGGTTAACTTGAAAGATTGGAGGTACACAGAGGAAACAGGATCTATGAACTTGAGTAGCATTTTACAGCAACTATCTCCGGAACCTGCAGAAGTTGAATAAACAAGCTCCACAACCTTACAGAACTCAACAGCTCGTATGGTTCCTCGGGTTGCGGTCCAAGGTCCCATGTCTTTTGTGTGACAGTAATTTGCACAACAGTGATCTATGTATTCCTGATGACCCTGTCAGGAAAGTATTCAAATTTCATTAATAATCAATGAAAACCATAATTAGCACTAAATATTAAAATGAGTTTAAGAATCAGGCTGCAGGAAACCATCCATGATGTAGTTACCTGTCTCAGATATGCAACTTCATCTCCAAGTTGGGGAATATATCTCGAGCCACCCTCATGTGCAGGCATCATTAACCATGATCCTTTTCTGGCATATTGAACCGACTTTCTTCTATCTACAGGATTTAGGTCTTGAGTAAGACTACCCCTTCTGTTTCGAGTGGATCTGGATCCAACTGTCATCCTTGAGCTTGATCCCCACTCTTCACTTGGTATATGGGATCTGTTTGCAGGAGAATTTCCAGAACGTCTTGATTTCTGTTCAAGTTCTTGATCTTCGTCTGATTTTAGATCATCACACACATTATTTGGATCATACGAGTCCTTGAACCTTAAAGATCGTGTCTTACGAAGCATACTTTTGTGATTGTTTGCTTCAGCAGACAGACTAATGTTGCCCAATGCATGTTCCCCTGAGTCACAACCGTTGCTTTCTATATTGCTCTTTCCTTTGTTCGACTTAGATCTTCTATAAACAGCAGTGTACATTTTGTTTGTCTCAACTGCTTGCAACTCTGATGAGTTGCATAAGGTTGATATTGGTTTTTCATCCATCGCAGTGTCCATATCTTGTGGGCAATCATTTCTAAGATTAGAAAAAGCTTCATTCATGACAGTATCCTGCAGCCCATTCAGAGGCCGTGGGCTTCCAGATACTGTATAGTATTCATCGTTCTTTGAGTTTTCGTCTAAGGATTCTATTTTGTGCTTCAAAGAATGTTCAGGATCCAAAGAACTACTCTTCAACCTTATCTTTGTACACATTGGTGCAATATTTTCAGTTTGCTCAGGAGCAGGAGTCCCATATTGTATTGATGTGGTTGCATCTGAAGAAAACATGAAATTCAAATTATTTGAATCATCATGATCATCACATGATTTGCTGTTGCTAAGACATTTAAGCTCACCACCATTAACCATCTCAGGAGAGTGCCCAGAAGCATTATCATCGTCATCTTTCAAATTCGTCGGGGATACAGCATGTGTTTCATCTGCACAATAATTCTGTATCTTTGAATGGGGGGATGGTGCACCAAAATGATTTTCTCGTTCTAAATATTCATGAACAGTATTCTCATTTTCATTATGATCGCCATTGCGAAATGGACTAGATAATGCATATGCATCTAATCTTATGCGCTTGGACGAACGAACCTTAGACCCTCCCCATCTTATGTTCCCATTTGTGTAGACCTCAGTCAGATTAGAATGCCCATCAGTATTTCCAAATTGTCTCTCGGGTCTCATAAGATTCTGACTGGTTTCAATAACTTCCTTTGGTGACCTTGATGATGAGCTAGCCACATCAGCCATGTTGGTGCAAGTAAGTGTTGTGTTTGAAGGAGGATCAACCTTATTTGGATTCTTAAGGGAGAATTTAAGGATCAACTTCTTTCTGTTTCCAGAATCTACACGAGATTCAGGAACGTCGAGAGGTTTTGTAATCAACTCATCTTCATTAAGGAATACTTCTTTCCCTTTTGAATGTTTATTTCTGTTTTGCAATGACCTTTCATATTCATCACTCTCAATGTCTGAATCTTCTAATGTAGATTCACTTTCTGAGCAATCACCTCCCGACTCATATTCATCTTCTCCATCTGTACATTTTCCCTTAAACGACGATATCCAGTTGCGGGCATTACGTGCAGCTGCTCTTTGAGGTCTTAATGACTTAGATGCTGATTTCTTTTTGGATGCTCTATGGCCAGATTTTAACTTCCGATTTCTGGAATTCCTAACAGTATCACCTTCATACTCATCCATATTTCTTCTTTTAACACGCCTTCCTGAAGAAGTCATGACCTCCATCTGAAATATACGTGGAAAGAAAAGAGTTCTATTTCAGAGGAAAAATATTTAAAAATGGAAATGGAACTTAATTGATGGAAATTAATATATTTAACGCGAAAAGAGGGATTCAGGGGAAGAAGATAACGATACTCACGTATGCTTTCTGTTTTTTCCTTTTTGACCTTCGAAGACCATCGTCAATCCCTGTGTCATCGGAGCTGCATTCTGAATCCGTTGAGCAGTTCGAATTTAGGCTTCTTTGCTCCCCACCAGTAGAGTAATCCTCAGTGACGTTGTATTCCGAATCAGTATCATCGCTTTGTACTTCATTTTCTGGTCCCCAATCCATTGCATCCACAATCTCAGGCAATGGTTCAATCAACATGTCCAAGTCTGCCAAAGGCAGCAATTGGTAATCTGGGTCGAGATTGAAGTCGGGCCCAGTAGAAAGTTTTAGAGAAGAGGGACGCCACTCAAGACCCATAGCACCTAAACGTCTTTGCTGATATGCAGTCTGATAAGGTTCCGGATAAGGTATCATGCCTATCATTTTTCATCACACAAGCAGCAAACACAAAATGAATTAATAACAAGCTGAAACCATATACCAACATCAGTTGGAGTAGAGGGAAACCTGAGTCAGAAAGGAGATCTTGCAAATTCCGTCTGTAAGTACTGAGTTGGGTTTCCTGAATCCAATATTGGCTCAATCATAAGAAATAAATAAAAGTAAAAAACAACAGAAAAGAAAAGAAACTATAATTTGATGAACCAGGATATCACAGACCAGCAGATGATATCACTTCATTGCATGTTTAGTAACAACATATCATACATAGTTTTCTTACTTGGTCAACTACATTGCCGAAAGGATCCTGAATAAGTGGGCGATAGTCACCAAGAAAGAACTGCAGTAAGGGCAAGACAATCAGTATTAGAAACATTAGCAAAACATATGATCATGAAGGAAGCAAAGCAGAGATCGACAAAATATTAATGAACTCAAGTACCTGATCATACTTGGCATCCTGTTGGGATTCTCCCTGCCCGGTGCTTAATATATATAGCTGCCCAACATCATCTGAAAGTATAATTGATGTCCCGTCTCTACAAAACAGAGACAAAACTAAGACACTATAGTATAAGCATGCATGAGGGGTACATGGTAAAAAAGTAATCCCTCGCATTGAAATCATCTCAATATGAAGAACAGAACTAATCCATTTATACACAATCAGCTCAATAACATAATGATCACTATGATGAACCAATTACACGACAATTATAGCCATAGGAAAATATTGAATTTCTACAGCCCAATACTTGACTAAGATTGCCGAGCCTTTTAAATATCATCATCCTGCACCACTCAATCATAACTTCTAGATTCATTACATCCACCAAAGCATCTTGAAATTTCCAACCTTCAATATCAAGAAATGAACACTTCATACAGCTGATTGCAAAGTAAAGACCATGGAATCATCCAAGCAACACA